GTTTCCATGTTGGTGAGTCCTTCACTGGACACCTATCAAAGTAATTCTAAACTTCTAGTCTTCTACTGGATTTTTATATTCCTCTTTTCTGCTTTTTGTTTTCTCTCCATACCTGCTATTCAACTTACAGTGTGTGTTTTCTCTACTTAGCTCATTTCTAGTATCTTTAAGTGTAACCCCATGAGGGCAAAGATTTTTCTACATTTTTTGTGTTAGAATAGTGTGTAGCACTAATGATGTGTACTCATTAGGTGTTAACTGGTCGAATGAGTGGAATAAATTGCTATTACCTTGACCCTAATAGATTGAGACCTTTGACATTAGCTTGAAAACATCCAGTTGGTTATTATACAACAGACTTCCCTGGCATTAGGATTCCTGTGACTTGTTAATGAGGTTTATTCAAGTGGAATACAAATCTTTTTATCTTCTGGGTTAAGCCATCAGGGTCAAGTTTATCTCAGCCTTCATTTCTATGGATATTTAGCAACTCAGAAGATATAACAAATATATGCTTATTATTGAAAATCCTTCCCAGTCAGTAACTGTAAATTCAATTAAGTGTCCTTAAAATGAATCTGCCATTTTTAAGCAGCCATCATGATATATGTAATTAAGTTGAAACACTTGAAAAATAGGAATAATTTAAAATATTATTTAAAACAGTTTCTTAATGCAGATATTAACTAAGACAGACTTGGGAATTTTTGCGCCAGTTCTGATATGTATTGGTTGTATTTGAAGTGTGTGCTGAGATGTCTGAGGCTGCTGTATTCTTCTGATAAGACACACGTATTACTCAGTTTTCTTCAGTATATGGCTACTCATGCAAACCTTTTTACATCCATTGTGACAGAAGTATATGTTATTTTTTATATTTGAACTAATATTTCAATATTATTTTTAAGTTTTTTATAAGATATTTTTATTGGAAAGTTAGATATACAGAGAGGAAGAGAGACAGAGAGAAAAATCTTCCAAACAATGATTCATTCCTCAAGCAGTTGCAACAACTTGAGCTAAGCCCATCCAAAACCAGGACCCAGGAGCTTCTCCCAGATCTCCCAAGCGGGTTGCAGGGTCCCAAGGCCTTGGGCTGTCCTCGACTGCTTTCCTAGACCGTAAGCAACAAGCTAGATGGGAAGTGGAGCTGCTGGGATTAGAACCGGCGCCCATATGGGATCCTGGCATGAGCAAGGCGAGGACTTTAGCCACTGGGCTACTGCATCAGGCTCTGAGTATTATTTTAATGTAATTTACATTTAGCATACAAATGTTAATTGTTTTTGCTAAATGTAATTCAATATCTTTCTTTTTATTGATTTCTGTATCCTATAAAATGGCTCAATTATTGTTGCATATTTTTGTTGTTATAACTTTTTCCAAGGTGAGAGAAATCTGTCAGAAAATACATAGCCTCAAGGGTAAATGAGGAAAGGTACTTTTTACTGAAAATTTAAAAAGTATATAAATATGTGAATTCCTTTAGTTTAGTTGGACTTGCCGTGCCTGACCCCCATAAACACTATGGCATATCTAACACCTATCAGGTATCTAGGATACTCTTTTAAATGCAACAAACATTTTCTGTTTGTATAAACCAAGTGCTAGCACATTATTCTTCATTATCATGGATAGTTTTCTTAGGTTGATGTAATGTATATGGGATTAGTTTTATTGCAATAAATTTTAACTTGATGTAACTGCATAATGGTATGCTGTTTGCATGAATACAAGTCTCTCCATTATTCTATAGATTTTTGGCTGCTCAACAGTCATGTATACGGTGCATTTGCAAGATGCGGTATAGAATACTTAGGGAGAAATTTAGATTTTTGTCTCAGGTGTACCTGAATTAGAATATTTATGCTACAGCTAAATGCTTATTTCCAGGAACCCCCTTGGAAATGGAGAAAATGATAAATATTCCTTCAAATAATTATTTTATAAATCTGTGCTTATATTAGGTGATTTAATAATAATTAATCATAAGGGATAGTAGTGGCAGAGTAGCATACGTATTTAATTTTCTTCTTTAAAAAGTAGTTTCAATACTTATTACATGACAGGTAGTTTTCTAAGTCCTTTATAAATTTTGCATTAAATTCTTATAATGTAAGCATTATTGTTATCTATTTTGTAGTAAAACAATTGAGGTATGGTGAAGTTTAGCAACTTGTTACAAAATCTGGCTCCATAGTTCATGCTTTTATACTGTACACAGAACACTCATGTTATTTTTGTAGCATCAACCTTTGTTAGTAGTTTATGGCCATGTAACACATTGCTTCAAAACTTACTGACCTAAAACAGCATAGAGTCATTATCTCACAGTGTTTGTGTTCTGCAGTGAGGAATCAAGGCAGCTTACTTGGAACATCTAAGGATCTCTCATAAGTTTGCTGTCAGGATGCAGGCAGATTCCCCAATCCTATGAAGGCTCTACTGGAGGTGGCTCCTCTTCTGGACTTATTTGAATTGGCAGGAACAGGTTCTTCCTGGGATGTTTGTATTTGAAGGCAGTTTTGTGGTGGCTTTTGGCTTGGAAATGCCTTATTTATGTTGCTCCATGAATCTCTCCATAACATAACTTACAACATGGAAACTTGCTTAATTATAATGAGCAAATAAAAGAACTACATTGTAAAGAATGTCATTAAGATGAAATCACCAGTTTGCCATATTTTGTATGCTAAATGCAAATTGTAAGAGCTTTCACAATGAATGAATACCAGATGTGGGGTATATTAAGTGCCATTTTAGGGCCCGGTGCAATGGCTCAGCGGCTAAATTGTTACCTTGCAGATGCTGGGATACCATGTGGGAACTGGTTCGTGTCTTGGCTGCTCTACTTCCCCATTCAGCTCCCTATTTGCAGCCTGGAAAAGCAGTGGAGGATGGCCCAAAAGCCTTGGGACCCTGTACCCATGCAGGAGACCCAGAAGAGCCTCCTGGCTCCTAGCTTTGGAGCAGCTCATCTCCAGCTGTTGCGACCACTTGGGGAATGAACCAGTGGATAGAAGATACTTTCTCTGATCTCTTCTCTGTAAAAAAAAAAAATCTACTTTCCAATTAGTATAAATAAATCTTTAAGAAAAAAAAAGAAGGAAAACCATCTTGGAGTTTTTAATGATTAATCACCAATTTGTCTTAATTTCTTTTTTAAAAAAAGTGACACAGAGAGGGAGGGACAGAGAAAGAAGGAGGAAGGGGAAGTGAAAAGGAAGAGAGAGAGAGCTTCATGAGCTAGTCCACTCCCCAGATGTCTGCCTCAGTTGGCCACTGGCAGGAGTACTCCATCTTAGGAGTAGTGGCCATATTCTGCTGCTTCCTCAGCTTTCTCACCTTAGCAGGGATTTGGATCAGATACATAGCAGCTTGGACTTGGTGTTTAGATATGGGATGACACATTGTATTAACTCAGTTGAACATCTAATACCATACATTACTTAGCTGTTTTCTCTATGCAGAACAGAAAATGGAGGCAGAGGGGTGTGAAACATTTTGCCCACAGTCACAAATATGATACACAACCTTGATCAAAAGTCTGGCAATCTAGTTTCAACCCCCTCTTTCTATCTACTGTACCTCTGAAGTCAGAACTTGTGTCTGAGAGTTTTCACTGTACGTTCTATGGGCTTTACACAATAATGTTTGGTTTTTTCATAGTAACTGTTATTTAGATTTATATAAGAATTTTCAGTATTCCATCTTAAGCTATCTATTAACTAAGTAGTATCCAGAGATGATGTCTTTCATTTCAAATCACCACTTACTAGTTTTTAACACCTTCTGTAATGATAAAGCTGATCTGTGACTTTCCTATACTGGGTTATGTAGACAAAGTGGTAGAAAAACTGCCTAGGAAAGGTATCTGTCTTTCTGGGAGGATGAGTGGCTAGTTCTAAGAATGGTATGCCAAGAAGAGAAAAGAAAAAGAATGTATCAAGTGTAAGCACATAAATTCAGGATATTCATTTAATAAATGTTAATAGATCATATTTTTTGTCAATGAGGTAGATTTTTACAACAATATAATGCAAAAATAAGAATTTTTAACTGGGTAGCCTTACACATTAGGATCATTTTATTCTGTCTGTAAAAGCCAAATATTATTGTGTAAAGCTCATTGGACTTATGGCAAAGACTCTTAAACACAAGCTCTGACTTAAGAGGTGTAGTAGTTTTATCATTATTATTATTTTATTTTTATTGGAAAGTCAGATTTACAGAGAGAAGGAGAGACAGAAAGATCTTCCATTCTCAAGTGGCCACAACAGCTGGAGCTGAGTTGATCCAAAGCCAGGAATGTGGAACTTCTTCCAGGTCTCCCACGTGGGTGCAGGGTCCCAAGGCTTTGGGCCGTCCTCCGCTGTTTTCCCAGGCCACAAGCAGGGAGCTGGATGGGAAGTAGAACAGAGCAGCCAGGATGTGAATCTGCGCCCATATGGGATCCTGGCGTATGCATGGTGTGGACTTAACTACTAGGCTACCTCACTGGGCCCCAGAGATATGGTAGTTAAGAAGACTGGTTTGAGGTTTGGTTGCCAGAAGTTAGGTGAAAGCTGTATATTGTATTTTTTTTTGTGACTGTGAGAAAATTATTTCACATATCTGTGCCTTAGTATCTAAAACAAACTGCAGCATTTCAAGAAGTCCTGAATTAACAAAGCAATAATTTTTTTGAAGAGATGACTTATTGAAATACAGCTATCTTCAGACTCTTTCAGACAATAATTCGACTCATTCTTATTTATTTCTCTGTGTAATGTTTATTCAGGGAAGAGGACCACAGTCCAGGAATATGTTTGAATTCTGAAAATTGTTGCCTTACTAAATCTTTATAGAAGACAAAATAATTTATATTAATTGCATTTTTCAATGTATAAATGCCATAGCACTTTATTTCACTGGACATTTACTCATCAAAATTCTTAGAATTCACTTCAGTTGTTCTTGTGTTTTCCAAATTAAATCTCTTACTTTCTCTTATTGCTTAGATGACGGTGGGTCAAAAATTCATCTGCCTCAACAGGTGGACATGGCAGCGCAGGTAGCTTCTGGAATGGCTTACCTGGAGTCTCAGAACTATATCCATAGAGACCTGGCTGCCAGAAATGTCCTTGTTGGTGAACACAATATCTACAAAGTAGCAGATTTTGGACTGGCCAGAGTTTTTAAGGTAGATCTAATAATTTTTGGTTAACTTTTTTCTAATAGACAAAAAAACCTAACAAATTGGCAAGCTGATCAATTTGCTGTTACTTTTTAAAACTATGTTTCTTCAAGTTTTGTGTTGTTTGGTAGCAGAGGATCTGGCAGACATATAATCACCTATCCCTATTTCCTAAAACAAAAACAACAACAAAAAAGAGGAAAGCACAGGCAATCATATTATGAAATATTGCATGTTATTGAATTAATTACCTGTTGGTACTATTGATCAGTTAGTAATATTATCCTTTGTCTTCCTTTATTTGTTTCATAAAAAGCGGTAAAGGTTGAATATTTACTCATCTGTCTTGTTTCACTTTATGTCAGACTAATATAGAGGTTGACAAAATCCTACAGGAAACCTAGACTGTTTCATTTCTTCTGTCCCATTTTATGGCATGCGTCCAAAAGACAGAGACATGCTATAAGGTATTTTTCACTGAGTTTAATTTTAATCACCATATTTTATACTAAAAGTATGGCTATGGTATAGAAACCACAAAAATATGATTCGTGTTTGATCTTCAAGAATTCATCATCTTTTGTTTTTTAAATTAATTAGAACCCTGGTGAGTTGATATATTAATTTAAATCATTTGCATTCTACTATTCAATATTAGCAAGTGGTTACATGGTAATTATCAAAATCAGTGGCTCTCAAAAACAAGCAAGAACTAAAAAGCAGACTCTACTTGTATTTTTTTTACTTGTGAAAAGATCAGATCTGAATCCAGATGTATGATTTCTGCCTTATGTAATAGAGTTCTTCAGTGCTATTCTTAGCACTTAGTAGGCTCTCAAATACTCTATCACTTTATAGGGATATTTTGACCATGTTTGCCAGATTCAAAGTTACTCTATTCATTGAACTGAATTTTAATGTGATGTAGATGATAGGATAGCCAAAAAGCCACATTACCTTGATGTGATTCTTTAATGTATTAGCAGGTAGATAATGAAGATATCTATGAATCCAAACATGAAACCAAGCTGCCGGTGAAGTGGACTGCACCCGAAGCCATTCGTTCTAATAAATTCAGCATTAAGTCTGATGTGTGGTCATTTGGAATCCTTCTTTATGAAATCATTACTTATGGAAAAATGCCTTATAGTGGTGAGTAATTAAACCTTAAGTGTACTTTTCTTTTGTAGGTCAGCTACTTAGCTATGGCTTTAACTGCTTTATACAGACTTAGAGTACAGAGTTATGAGGCTGACCATATCATGTACCAGTGGGAGCCTGATAGATAAAATTTGATGATGACAATTTGCATTAATGAGGTGGTTTATTGCTGCCTTTTCATTTGTTCTTGAGTTGCAGTCTCACAGACACCACTTGCTGCAGGATTTACTTAACTTTCTGCAACCTGGATAGGGGAGAGTAGACCTCATAGCTCTGCCCAAAAAGGGCACTTTACAACATAGAGTACTTTTATATGTCTATGGATTGAAGACTTTGATCTTTACTTTTTTTCTTGTTGTTTCAACTCTGTGTTTTCTAGGTATGACAGGTGCTCAGGTAATTCAGTTGTTGAGCCAAAACTATAGACTCCCACAACCGCCTAATTGCCCAGAGCAGTTCTACGCCATCATGTTAGAGTGCTGGAAAACAGAACCTAAGGAGCGACCGGCGTTTGAGACCCTACAGTGGAGGCTTGAGGACTATTTTGAAACAGACTCTTCTTCATATTCAGATACAAATAACTTTGTAAGATGAATACTGAAGAACATGGAATGATGACATAGCAAAAAATTAAATAATAAAGTCCAGGAACACAATCTCATCAACCATATCCAAAATCAGTTTATCTTGACATATTCAAGCAATAGGCTTTGTGTGTATTTTATTAACTGAACAACTGAAAACATTGTCATTTTTTCTCATTGCCTGATCAAACACACTAAACAAAGTTCTTTTCTTTTTAAGAGATGCTTTCACTTCTGTTTATTATTTGAAATGCTGGTCAAGACACTCGACAGCGACTGTTGCATTTTCCTGTTTACTGATTAGAGTGGATATTCATTATTCCTAGGATTACTGAATCCTATCAGGCTGTTATTATGAAGGAATCTGATTGCTTTGCTGCACAGCAGGACCTGTGTGCTTTGAGATTTTCTGTTTCTCTTTTAAAATATCCTGTAACTACAATGATGGCAAAGTCATGTTAAATGGCTTGATTGTACTTGAAGTAATTGCACATATTTTTCCTTTGTATAAAAAAATGTAGCAGCTGTTGAGAAAAAGAAGCGCTCTCTCATTTTGTAGAAGGAAATGATGGAATTTTTCTGTACCTCAGTATGTGTCATTGGAGAATAATTTATATTAGTTTTAATCTCTTAATGTTAAGAATTAGGTTGCAAAGCTGGTGAGTTGTTTTTTACGGAAGTAAGTGAGAAACATTTGTAGCCCACACAGCAAAAAGTAGGTATCAAGGTAGTTTAGGACAATGAGAGAAGCAGATGATGGTCTAGAACTTTTGAGTACCTTTATTTTTAAAGTAGTACTTCTGACTCATAAGCTAGAGTCATAAATGGATTAAAACACAGGTCAAGATCTGCTTCAGTCTAAAAGGCTGGGAATAATGCCTGGACATGGTTATGACATTAGTTTTTTGTCTGGTAGGAAGGAGAGTTTCTACTATCTAACTTGTATTAACCTTTGTAACAATACAGCTGTCTTCTTAAGCAATGGGTACATCACATTCCTAAGTAAACAACAAGGCTTCTCCAAAGTGATTTCACAATCAAATATATATGTCCAAACACTTTTCTGATGTGTGGAAATATATATGAAACAAGCCATGAGAAAACATAATATTTGGGGTATATTCTCTCAATTATCCTTAAAAGAAAAGAGCATATCTAAACCATTACAGAAACCCCAGCTCAAAGTGGATTGAGCAACAGGTGAATTTGTGAATGCTTTTAACTAGGAGAAAAGAATTAGAGAGGAGTCCGTGGACAACACAAGTGGCAGCTCAGTGATACCAGAGAAGAATGAATTCTTGCCGGGTCTCATCTTTGCTGTCAGCACTGGTCTCATGCTCATGGTTATGAATACCTCTCAGTGGCAACTGGAGCCCCTTATTCTGTTCCACATCTAGCGAAAAAGGACACCTCTTTTGCTAACTTGCATGGAAATCACTCTTATTTCTCCATGCAAATGAACATGAGTCATCGCTGCACCAAAAATAGTATTTAATATAAATATTATATGCTCACTGGCTTAGGAAGTATGCCACTGGTGCTGGTCACCTTTCCCAGAGAAAAGTTGGAAGATTTAGTATATCTGAATAAAACTAGGGATACTATGTGTCCTTTTGAGAAATCACATTCCCATTGAATTAGCTGTTAAAATTCATATATGATCTTATCTCTGTCATATATGTAACAGACCAGTGTCTGCATATACATTCCAGCTTTTTGGCAGACCTATACTAAGATGAATCTTGTGGAACTAAAGATTATTGAGCTCATAGAACAACTGATTCCTTTGTAAGTAGAAATATTTGTGAGATAAGCTCAATACTCATGCTTTTAATCAGATGACTGAGTATAGGGTAACTTCAATTATTTATTCAAAGTCATTTAGTCTAATATAATCAGATGGCAAATTATGGATAGCCAGTTATTCAAAATTAAGAGAAAATAGTTCCGTTTTTGGAGTTCTTTCCTGCATGCTCAGTTCTACTTAGGCATATGCATGGAAATGAGTGGGAATATTTCCCTTTCATTGTGAACATTCAACTAATATATCCTCTTGTAGTAGCTAATAATAATAATTTTTAGTGAGATCTGATTTTTGAGATATAAAAAGAAGGTTATCCTTTCCTGTTTTAATGCTGCTTGAAGCCTGCCTGATGTGTCTAATTTTGGGGGACATTTATGTTCAAGGCTCTGTCAAAGTCATCTATTATTCTTGTTTTTACCTGATGGATCATGGAGAAAAATAATGGATACAGTTATGAGAAGCAGTAATGTATTTTTTTAAAGCTGACATAAATTTCTCTCTTTGTAAAGAATAAAAGGATTGGGAAAAGATAAGTTGAATTTTCCTTCAATGAGCCAGCTCTTGTTAAATTTACCTCCCATAAATTGTGGCAAAGCACTTTTTATGTAACGTTTTATTTATGTAATTCAGTTATTTGGAGGTTGTGAAGAAGGAGGTGAATACATCATTTTATGTACTGTTTCAAATCTCTTGACAAAAAGCATAAGACATTTTGTAATAGGAAAATTTTTAAAATTCCATTAAGCCTCTTTTAATAAGGGAAACGGAGCAAGGTTTAAATTACTAATCATGAAATAACACAGGGTGGATCTGTAATAGTTGTGCATCCCAAATATTTTGTCATCAAAAACAGACATAATCACAGTAAGCAGAAATCTGCAAACTGGGTTTGGAAATGTATAGCCATAACAGATGTCAGAGAATTACTGTGGGCAGCTTTCAAGCTGGGGCTACTTACAGCTTCTATTCCCAACATTTTCTGCATAGTGACCACATGGAGCCAGTGAACCATGAGGGTCCCACACCCATTTAAATCTCTGGTAGCCTAAAGGAAATCATTGTCCTTGGAAGGAGGCCATACTCTAACACAGCTGGAGCTTCCTGGAGGAAGCAGAGCCCAGCTGGTGCTCCTTGGCTTGTCAAGCATATGCCATACCTGCCACCATGTTGTTCATGGTCCAATTGAGCATCGGCTTCTAGATAAAAACAGCCTTGATTGTAGTGTTTCTGTGGCAGCTGTATAGTTCCCTTCACAAAGACATGTTATGTTATGGTGAGGATTTGGAAACCTTATTCAAAAGACACTACCATGATCTCCATTGAAAAGGTCAATCATAAAAGAAGTGTTTATAAGACAAGTCTTGGAATTGCCAATGCACTCATCTAGAAATTTTTGGTTCTTACGTTTATCCCTTCTTGCACAAAAAACAAAAAAGCTGAAGAATTTGGTAGAAAAACCTACAAATATTTTAAATTTGTGACTTGAGCAATATTTCAGTTTTTGCACTATCATCTTTTCATGACCCACCTTTTCCCCTTAAAATCCTCCAGGCTTTTCATTCTTTGTAGTAAGGAAATAATGTTAGTAGAGCTTATTTATTCAATTCATAGGAGACTAAATGAAAAGAGTATGTACACAATGAATTTCAGAGCCTTTAATAAGTTTTAATTCAGTATGAATTCAAATGACATTATCTGAATGGGGGTTATTATTTTCATTTACTTTTCTTGCCTAATTTGCTAATTTATCCATGAGCTCTCTATACCAATAGACTCCAGTGTAGCGTCTTTTTCATTCACATGGAGAATGATCAATTTATAAGCCTTTCCAGAAAGGGTCACTAATGTAAAAAATGTCTTAAGTATCTAGTTAGATTTATTATTGTACAACAGGTTAAAGTCATGTAGCATGAAACAAATATTAGGGGAAAGTAGTTTCAAATAAGTAAAATAGTACTGTTTGCAAGAGGTTCAATATTCTATAATGTTAATTTGTAATAATTTTTTAGATATCATAGAGGCTTTGTACTATTTGTCAAAGATAAAATTTCTCAGTATTAACTAAATTGTTTCATTATATAATCCACAAAATTTCAATTTTGTGGACTGTGGCTGTTCAGCAGTTTTAAAAATTTACATGTAATTACACATTAAGAAAATGGAAATAAAACTTATTAGCCAAATTGTTATACTTTGGAGATATTACAAGTTTTTGTCTCTTAGAAACATACATATCTATGGTAAAATTTTTAATACTTAATTGTGCAATTATCTTTGAATGTATGTTGCAAATGACTATATGTATAGCAAGAGGAATTTTTTAAATACTTCCTTTAATTGTGTCATTTGTGTTGCTGTTACTTATCTTGATTTGAAAGCAAATATTTCAGATTTCTCTTAAAATTTCCCTGTCTGGATTCTTTTAAAACATAAGACAAAGATTTGTTTGAGTATATGGTCATTATTTCAATTGGATTCTGTATATTATGGTAGTTAAATTAAATGGATTATCTTTAACTTGACTTTTAAAAGTTGACTGTTTCACAAGTCAAATTGTTCCTGAGTCCACAGCATAAATTTTAGGTATTTTACAGCAAGTAAAATGTCTCCTCTGTTGATTAGATAAACTTTTTTCAGTTGTATGATGAAGATAAGCCTGTGAAGAAACTGAGGTGTCTGAGTGTGTGTATGCCATATGTTCACTGTGGGTCAGCTGCATCCCATCACCTCTCTTAGAGACCAGGGCAAGGGGAAAACTACCAGTTCTTAACTCGTGCTTGCATACAACAGATCTTTATGGATCTTATGTTGGCAATTGGAATTGATTTTCTCATATAAATTTTCTGGAAACTATAGTAGAAGAACCAAGTAAAGGCTGCCAAAGAAATGGAAGAAAAAGCGAGCAAGACCTTGGAGAAGACTTCATGGGAAGGAACTGTCATGGTCATGTCTTTGTTTTTTTCCTCCTCTATTACGTTTCAAACCTAGATCAGCAGCTGTCTCAGATCATGAAGAAGAAGGAAGTCATTTCTTAGTAGAGTCTCCATCTGTGATGAGAGGAAAGCTTCCAAGCCAGCCCTTGACTGTGGATTCCTGGAACTTTAGGAAAGCAGAACAGTTACTAACTGCTCAAGTAACTTAGGCTTGAGTAACAATTAGGCAAGAGTAAGAATTCTCTTGGAGAGATTGTCTGTGTGAGACTGTCATCCTACCCAGA